TGTCTTCACTGAAGCTAGTCACAACACAAGCTCACCTTTCAGAATTAAAAACAGATTAGCAAAAGCTAAAAATGGGACATATTTAGAAAGGATGGAAGATTCCAGACTGCAGAGGGTAAGCTTTTGTGGTTTCTAATCTTTTCCAGTATTTGGACATTGACAAACAATTACTCCGCAAGGAGAAGCGACACTTTCTAAAGGCTCCAGATTCCTAGGGCAGGTTTGTGGGAGGAAGCAGTGGTGGGATATGAGGGATGTCTATGTGTAATGTATATATTTTATAAAGGTGGCCAAGTGCCTTATTTTATAATTTGCGGAGACTTAAATCAAGCACACAAGATTTTCCTAAACTTCTAATTATTTTGGACATAATGATATTTTCTTATGAAGTAAACCAATTTTTTTTCTGAAACTAATGGAAGAATTCATTTTCTTCACATGTAATTTAAGTCAGATCTATTTAAATTAGGTAATTAAACATATGTAACTAGGATATGGAGCAAGCATGACTCATGATAATGTAATCATAACACAACTTAATTTTTCCAGTCTTCCATTGGCTCATTAGAGTCACTGGGGAAAAGTGTCCCTTGACCCTGATGAAAACTCAGACTGGCCCCATGGCTTTTCTGCCCAGTCTGGGCCATAGACAGTCCTGACATCATTTTAAATTATAAACACAGCCTCCATAGATGTCAATCAAAATTTCAAACTCAGATTCCTTTCCCTTTCCTAGCTGGAACCTGCTCAGACGAGAAGCCTGCAGTAAAGGGTAGTGACATGGGGCATGGCTGGTGTCTTCATTCCTCTACTTTCTGCTTCTCCTCCAGGCCCTTCTCCTACTGGCTCTGGGTGTTCATCCTTTTCTCAGACACAACCTAGAGGACAGGACCCAAGATGACACCACAGGGGAAAACAAACACAGAGGCCCTCCCTGTCACCCCAGCACTCCTCTGGCTATTCCGCTAGAGTAGAGGCTCAGCCCACTTTTCCACCTCTGGATTTGCCAGACACAAGTCAGCTCCCAAGCCACTATATCCCCCAACCATGGGGATCATGTTTTAAACTGTATGAGTAGCCTTGAAACTCCCTACCCCCAACCGGGGTTGAAGTGAAAGGGCAGCCTTCTCACCCTGCTGGGGTGGATGGTGCTCATAGCACAGTTTTATTCGGAAATGCCCTAGATCCTCTCTCCTCTGTCTCAACCTTTATATTCTTCAAGCAAGTGAGGAGGCTTCAGAGTCCCAGAACTGAGAGTGGGGGAGGAAGAGAAAGGAAAGCTCATCTTTACAGAAGAACGCTGACTTATGAAAGGAAAAGGGTTGTGGCCCCCTCCCCCCCACTGTAATAATGGATGTGGACAGGGATCATCAGTGGATGCTAAAATCAGTTGGTGGGGGACACAGGATATCCATCTAGTTTCAAAGAAACACATCCCATGTTACTAATTACCAAGTCAAAGAGGTACCATCATGGTGGAGAAAGCTGGCAGATGTCATCTTAACTGAGTGGTCAACTTAACATGACCAGTAATGGGACACACTGAGAAGGACCCAAAAAGTCTTCTTGCCCAAAAGGCTTAATATTAATTTAATCCTAGGGAAAACAACTAGACAGATCTAGACTGAGAGACATTCTCTAAAGCAACTGGCTTGGATTAAAAAGAAAAGATAATGTTATTAAAGAGAAAAGAAGGTGGAGGAACTGTTTTAGACTAAGAGAAGAAAAAGCCATGACAACTAAATGCACTGTGGAATTCTTAATTAAATCCTGGGCTTGCCTCCCCATCTACGTGCCCTCCCCCAAAACATAAACAAATCCTATGAAGCACATTTTAGAAGATTTAAATATGGCTTGCTTATTGTATAATAGCGGTGCATCAATGTTAAAGCTCTGGGGTGTGAGGATTGTGTTGTGGTTACATAGAAGAGTGCCTTGTTCTCAGGAGACAGGAGAAAGTGTGGGTGAAATGTCACGAGAGAGAGAGAACAAGGAAGGAAGAAATAGAAGCAAATACAGCACAATCTGGTTAATCTATGTGAAGAGTATTGTATGTTTACCTTTTCAACTTTTCTGTAGGTTTTTTCAAAATAAAAGGTTGGGGGCAGAAAGAGACATGGAACCAGACTTCACCCATTTCCTTTGCAAGTACACAAAATGGAGATTGGGCACCTCTCTTTGAAATTTTATTTAATTATGTCTTGGTGCCTGGATGAAACTTCGATTATTACATCTTATTATGCATATCAATCCCTAAACGTATAAACATATATAATGACAATTTCAATTTCAGAATGTATGTGCAGGGCATTGCAATGTATAAAAACATTTCTGCTTATATTGTCTCATATTATTTTTACAACACTCTTGGACAGGGATCCTCAGTGGATGCTAGGGAAGGTAGTATTTTTATTTTTCCCATTTTCCAAATGAAGAACTGAGCAACAGAAAGTCTGAGCAACTCAACCAAGTATACACACTTAAAACTAGTGCCCTCACCCTCTGATTGAAGACTCCATTTTTTTTTTCACTACACACATTAAATACCCATACCCGGGAGGGGTTTAACAAAACCATTTACTCTCTTTCTTACTTCATTTTGTACAGAAAGTAAGAGAGAGACTGAAGGGTCTTTATTCACCTGGGAATTCCAGATTAGCAATGGTACAGGTGGCTCTGCTCACCCCATTGAATCAGCATTCTCGTTGACCCTGAGTTTATGCGAGATGCTGCTAAGGGACAGCTGCTCAAGTCTGTAACCCACCTGCCCAGACTAAAGAGCTGAGTAATGTTAGGCTTCGAGTCCTACCCATGTCATTGCAGATCAGCTGCAGCACAATCAGCACAATGAGGAACTTAAAGAGATGAGTATAAAAATGAATTCTCCCGAGACCGAGTCAACATCCCCTTCGAATATGGAGGTAAATTTTGTCACAACTCTAGCGATCTTCCAGGGAGATGACCAGTCCCACAGAAGGGTATTCACATGCGTCACAAACCCACAGCCCCTGAAATACTGACAGCTCTGTTTCCACTTGACAGCTGGGGTGAGCAGGGCCATCTTCGTTCTCCCTCTGCCTCCCCTTTTCTTAACTAAAAGTAACTTAGGGGGAAAACACGCCCTTTCTGAGCTTGGTGAGAGCCACAGATTTGTGAAGAGGCCCCACAGACCCCAGGCACGTGGTCCACATTTTTTCTTCTTTTGTGTTGCATTAATGATAGGGGTTGAATCTCTTCTGCCTTCACTATTGACTGAAGATGCCAAGAAAGGACAAAGCCGGTGTGTGTGTGTGTGTGTGTGTGTGTGTGTGTGTGTGTGTGTGTGTTAGGGAGAATAGAGCAAGTAGCTAAATTGTAGAGAGTATAAACATATTCTTTTCCAGGATCCTCCCTTCAGATCAGGACTTTATGGAGTGAGGTTGGAATCATTGACTTTCAAAAAAAGCACAAAACACAGCACACCTAAACAAATTACTAAAATTCTGTGGCACACCAAAGAATATACTTTTTTGCAGGTTTGACAAAAAATAGGTATACTTTTGATTCAGTCACACTGGATAGCTATTGTTGTCATTTTTTTTCAATTTGACAATCTAAGGGGAAAAGAGGTCAGTGTATGTTTTAAAAATTCTTGTGGCACACTGGTTGGAAATCGCTGTTCTATTCTGTACATGGTGTAATTGCATAGGATACTTTTCCAAAGTAAAATAGTCACTGGACTTAAATAGGAAGCAATTTCAGACTTTCATAGCTTAAACAGCATTTTGACACGTTCACTCATTCAATCACTTTAGTGCTCTGTTTTGATGTTTCATTGAGAACAGTGTGATTCCATATTATCCCTGCAAAAAGCCCTTCTTAGGCCAAAAACATTTATAATTTGCCTTATCAAACATTCATTCTTTGCTTTGATAAAAAATATGCGTTTTTATGTCATTTCCATGGATTATTATCATGAATTTCCAACATTGATATTGCTTATAGTAAGCTCCTAATTTACTCAGAATCAGGAAAGCAGAAAATGCTAGGAGAACATTATATTTGTCAGAAAAACCTACAGAAAAACTCATATGCACTTTATTTATAACTTTTATAACCCAGATAGCAAGAATACATCTTTATAGAACCTGGTGTATTACAAGATTGTGAACTACCTTTTGAACCATCAAAGACAAATTACCTTCAGTATAATTTTATGTTGATTACTTTATCTGAATTCTTTGAAATTTATAAATCTATGTCACACTGTAAGCCTCAAATAACAAGAATATTCTTTTTCCTCTCTTTTTTCCAAATATTTTCATTCTCATTAACCTTGGGTGATAATCCATGATTGTAAACCTCAGTTAACTAGAACATTCTTTTTAATTTGTCCTCCCAAACTATCTTCTTTCTTAATAATACTAGGTAGGTTCCATAAATAAGTGCAAATTGAAGAAAATCTGTTTTTAGGAATACCCTGAAAGTTTTCACAGGAGATGCTCAAAATATTGTCTTCAAATAGTTGTAACAGAAAGAACATAAAATGTTGAAACTCCTTGAGAACCAAAAACCAAATTGCAATGAAGGGTCTCATTTTAAATAGTGGCTCCACGGATTGGAAACTAATCAGACCTAGAGTCATTATAAAATAGGAAGCCATTCAGATGACCTACTTCAAAATAAGATGGCTTGGTTATAAATTCCCCTTCTAATTAATTTTATTGTTTTAGTTGATGGAACCACAGAAGTGAAAATAACCTGGAAAAAGTGAGTGAGCACTGTACCCAGAAGAAGCCACAATTCCAATGCCTGCAACTACTTTAAAAAGGAATGAAGATGCAGGATGTTGAGCATTGGCTTTGAAGGTAAATATTGAGGCTGAAAGACATCGACTGGAAAGGTTATTTTTCATATTCAGTCAAATCAGTCTGAATACATTTCATTTCCTACTGTGAGTGGAATAGTCATCAAGCTAGAATCAGGAACTCCAGAGTCTTTTATTAAATTTCTTTACTCACCTTCCATGGGGGTGTTACTGTCTGGTCGATTTGCGAAGACAACATCCACATACTCCAGCTGCAGCCTCTGGAGGGAGCCCTTCAATCCTGGGAACAGAAGCAGGACAAAGGGAAAAAGTCCAAAATGAGCACTATTAGAAAGAGTTGAATTTTGGTTATCTTTAAGCATTTACTTTTTTAAAATTAAAAAGCATTAAATTAGTTTCAAGGAGGCACTAAATACAATGATGTGTTACTTGACCCCTAAATCCTTGTAAAACTATGTCAAAGTCTGATTTTTGTCCCCACAAAGAAAAGTCTTAGCCTGGCTTCAGTGGCTCAGTGGTTGAGCATTGACCTATGAACCAGGAGGTCACAGTTTGATTCCTGGTCAGGGCACATGCCTGGATTGCAGGCTCAATCCCCAGTAGGGAACCTGCAGGAGGCAGCCGACCAGTGATTCTCTCTCATCATTGATGCTTTCTCTCTCTCTCTCTCTCTCTCTCTCTCTCTCTCTCTCTCTCTCTCTCTCTCTCTCCCCCCCCTTCCTCTCTGAAATCAATAAAAATATATTTTTTAAAAAATAAAATTCTTTTCTCTATGGCATTAGTATTCCCACGACACTGGAAAATACAGACTTAGTGATCACCTTGCAGTGACTCATGTGTGGTACTGTCCGGAAGCAAAGTTTAGAATAAAAAGCAGCCTAAGAATTTCTTCTTGAAAAATTCAACTAATGTCATGTATTGAATTACTTAATGGACTTATAATGGAATGGAGGTATATTTATTGCATGGCAAAACATAAAAATAATACGTATCATAAATAAGTGACAACCAATGCCACAATGGGTTATAATAGGAATAAAAGGGCTGGCCAGTGAGGGCGTTACTCAACATCTCATTGATTGGAACAAAGTTCGAAGAATCTTAAATACAGCTGAGCTCTATTATTTCTATTACTCCCCATTCTTTTTGGGAAAAACAAAAATACTAGAAGATATAAAGATTGAAGAGGTAATATAAAGGACAGAGAGCTTACAATAAAATCTAGAACCCATAGTCTGTTTTAACTCTAACCATTTTATCACATTCCTATGACTATTCAGAAAAAAATATTTAATTTCAGTAAAATTAATGCTTCCCTGAAATAGAATGTATTGTACATAATATTATGTAACCAAAAGGACAGTGTTCAAGAGTCATTTTATCTCATTTCCATGAGGCACAGCATTTCCTTATCAGCCTATTTAATTCTTCAGGAAGACCGGAGGGTTTTCTCTTTTTATTACAGGCATAAAATTAATTGCATGCTAAATGAGGCTCTTAAAAATTTAAAGTTGGCTCATTTAAATTTGATTTTTCAAACTAGTTTATCGGCCAGCCCCAATTACTTTTCTGACAGGAAAATGGAATGCTGGAATATAGTTCCGGGAGTATTTTTCACTCATTAAGAAAGGATTGTCTATGGTGGCAGATGGTTAAAAGAAGCATTGAAGAGCAGATTAGGGCAGACAGGTGTTATAAGGTCCAATGCCTGCTCTTGAAAAACTGCAGTGACTTTCAGGCTCAGGGTATTACCAGCTACCTCAAGGGGCAGCTTGCCATTCAATTTAACTTAGAAAGCTCTATGATCTGAGCCACTTTTTGGAAGCAATTGTATGAAGGAGCCGTGGGCAAACTACGGCCCGCGGGCCGGAATAAAACTAAAAAAAATAAAAGACTGCACCCTTTTATGTAATGATGTTTACTTTGAATTTATATTAGCTCACACAAACACTCCATCCATGCTTTTGTTCCGGCCCTCCGGTCCAGTTTAAGAACCCATTGTGGCCCTCGAGTCAAAAAGTTTGCCCACCCCTGAGTTAAGGGGAGGACCGGATCATGAAGCAAACAAATAAACAGGGTGTTACAAGGTCTGAAAGTTGGAAATCTACCCTAGCATGCTGTGTGATCTCACTTGGCTTATTTCACCTTTTTTTGTGATTCAGCTCTCTGATCTGCAGTGGGGATAACAGTACTTGCTACCTTCAGAACTGCTGCTCCAGAGAGCAAATACAATCAGTTGTAAGTACTCTGTAAATGCAATAGTCTAGTAATGTGGTAAATAACATGGTGGTATTCACATCTCAGAATGGGAGGTGCCAAGGACTGAATGCCAGAGATTTTCACTAGACCTTCTGGTTTTGGAGGCGTTTAGTGACATTCTGGCTCGTGCCTGGCCCTGGGAACAAGGTCCTCCCTCCTGATGATGGCCCTCTCCTCCTGTGTCTCTTCTCAGCAGCTCAGGGTGGGCTGAGAAAAAGCAGGAGAAGAAGCTACGACGGACTTGGCCCTGTTGTGATTGCTACATGATCAGTCACGACTTAAGCCATTCCCTCTTCCATGCCATAAGCATGTTCTGAATCCAAATTTGGTTCTAAAACTGTGCTGGGCTCTGGGAGTATAAAGATGTATGGACACTGCATTCATCCGCAAGGAGCTAGCAGTGCATATCGAGAGCATCCATTGGCACAGGTTCATTATTCAAGGTAATAATGTGTGCCCCAAAATAATGGCGTGGGCTTGGTAGAAAGGTCATTGTAGTTGGTCATTCTTCATCTGTCCAAAGATGACATGGAGCTAGGTGAACTTTCTTCCTCTGACCTTTCATGTGATTGCAAACCAAATCAGGTAGTCCTGCCTTTTCCTAATCTTGTAGAAATGGCTAACTCATAGCAACATAAAGACATGCTCACCAATGTCTCCTTAAAAGCCATGTAGGGTTATTTCCAATAAACAAATGGTCACGATCTATGTCCACTTAGCAAATGTTTGTTGAGCACTGGCTTGAGGCCAGGTATTGTTTTAAGTTTAAGTAGACATACAAAAATGCATTAATCTTGGCTCCAGAGGGCATCCAGACAGCTAATCATAACCTAAGGAGCTAAGTGCTCCAGGGCAGTGAGTGCACTTGCTGAAGGCACTTTGACCTTAACCTGTCCCTGGACACCTAGGCAGTATCTATCTGCTGGAATGAATACAAGAGAAGCAGGGGGAATGCTCCCTGCCCTTGAGAAATGTCTAGAAATTAACTGGCAATTCCTCAAAAGTCCACAGGATGATAAATTATGTTATACAAAGAAAATGGCTCTCAAGTGACTGTAGGAAAGAGAAATCTAAGTTCATTTTTCTTTTAGGTTCTGAAGTTGAACAGGAACTGTATTATTTATAAGGTGATCCTTAATTCAGTTTAAGCCTGTTGTACAGGCATCTACCTAAAGACAGGAGCTCATTCCAGACATTAAGCAGGTTGGCATGCGCGTGGGTCAGGTGCTCAGTGTTGCAGGTCTAACTGTAGAAACAAGGGGATCGGTAGTTCGGAGATTCTGCAAGGGTTCTATTCATATATGCCGCGTCGTCATTTTTTATACCTACCGCACATTTGATTTCCTGTCTACTGGTAGCTTGAAAAAAAGTTGCCGTCAGTAATGTACACAATGTCCCTATGTAATTTTCCAGGCTCTTCTCGGCAGACCTCTCAATCATGATTTAGGACACACTTGCTTTTTTTGTTTAAATAAAGACTGCACTGTATTAGAATAATGTAAGTGCCTGCCTCTCTCATTATGAAACCTGGTTATTCTGGTGGCTAATTTCTATTACTACGAACATGATACACTGAGAAGGAATCCTGGGGTGAATCCACTTGTTATGAAATTTATTTTTAAATTTTAAAAATAATAAATTATATCTATATATCTATATATATATATACACACATTATTGATTTTTTTTACAGAGAGCAAGGGAGAGGGATAGAGAGTTAGAAACATCAATGAGAGAGAAACATTGATTAGCTGCCTCCTGCACACTCCCTACTGGAGATGTGCCCGCAACCAAGGTACATGCCCTTGACCAGAATCGAACCTGGGACCCTTGAGTCCGCAGGCTGATGCTCAAGTTCAGATAGTAGGATTAACCATTTGCAATTCATTAAAAATGTTTAAGCAGAGCTTTCTCAGATTATTTTCTTTTTCTATTCCTAAAACGATGACAGTGGGTTTGTGTTTTGAATTACATAAGAAAACTGTTGTTTACCTGAAAGGCAACTATAGACTTAGACACAGGTTTTGCTTATAAAACTACACAAACAATTTACTTATTCTCATACTTTGGCTTGCCAAACCATCTCTATTCTTTCACGTTAGATACCAAGAAATTGGATCTGCCGAATTTCAACACTGGCATACTAGTACATTTGAGCTTAATAAATGTTTGTAGAATGACTACTAGTAAATGAATAAATAGACTTTCAGATCCTGAGAGGACCTTGGGATTCTAAATGGATATAATAAAGCTGTTAATGAGACTTCTACCCCTTCCTTGTAATTCTAAGGAGAATGTTATTCCTAACTGGATCTAAGGCAAGGACTTTGGACTCATTGAAAAGGTCTTTCATATGAATTTTTTTTAAAACTACATTATTCACAAGTCAAGCTCATTTTACATGATATGAACTAACTCAAGTGGCCAAAGTTACCCAGCACACAAGTGGCCTGAACTCTACATAAGTCAGACTTCTGTCTTATTCTTTAAGAGCAATTCTCAAATTTAATGAGTGTATAAATTTCCAATGTCGAATAGTTGAATAAGGTCACCTTACCACAGAACAAGTACCAATGAAACCTAAATTTTGTAAATCATTCAAACTTTATTTTGGGTCTAGAAATCTTATGTCCCTCCTTTTTTTCCCCCTGCAAAATTCACTCAATTCCATAATTTCAGTTCTTTTTGCACTCATGATTATTTTTGGTCTTTGGCTGAAACTATAAACTGTAAAATAACAGCAACAATAACAACATAATAATAATAGATCCCAATTCTTTTTCAATCTCGAAAGTTTGAAATTTTGTGTTAAAGTTTGATTCTGGGTCGATTGGAATTTCAGCTGAACAAGTTTATGCATCCTGAGAGACTAGTTCCTAAGAGAATTCCTGACTTATTTAAAAGGAGAATTTAATATATTTCTATTAGGTTATATGAAGCTTCAAGAAAACAGATTTTTAGATTTTTCTTTTTTCTTTCTTTTTCATAATTGAGATTTTATTGTCCATTTTGAGGACCAGTACACAGACATTTCAATTTGTACACAATTCTTAACATATGTACCAAAATTATAAAGTCATCTGAGCTATTTTTTTCTAAACAGTTATTTTAGTGACTTTCAAGCTTAAAATTTGGAGACTAATTTTCCTTAATAGAATATCAAGTACCAATATCTTTAAATGTTGATACGCTGTTACATCAAAGTCCCACTAATTCACAATTTAATATCATATATACTACATTATCAAATTTTCAATCTTTCACAGCAAATTAACAAAATTACTAGGAAAACGACTACCACATCAATGATGCACAAAATTCTGTAAGGGAGAACCAAGATAAAGGGGTGGTTTTCTTTAGGGAACAATTCTGCCAAAAACATGTGAATAGAAGTAATTTAAGATGTTCAAGACAGAGGAAATGCACGACTGACTCCAAACTACCATTGAGTACGCTTTGTAATATAGGATATAAAACTGCCCCCATCTATGGAATGTTAAGCTGAAGAAAACGAATTTTAAAAAAGAGAATCCACTGAAACCGGTTTGGCTCAGTGGATAGAGCGTCGGCCTGTGGACTGAAGGGTCCCAGGTTCGATTCCGGTCAAGGGCATGTACCTGGGTTGCGGGAACATCCCCAGTAGGAGATGTGCAGGAGGCAGCTGATCGATGTTTCTAACTCTCTCTCTCTCCCTTCCTCTCTGTAAAAAATTAATAAAAAATATATTAAAAAAAAGAGAATTCTGAAATTATGAACAATTACAGTAAATATTAAAGCAATGGAGATTTGGTAAAAATCCCAATAGCATGCTGTTCTTTTTTTCTTTAATATTATATTTCTTTGTTGATTGCCAGTTTGAACCACTTTCTTAATCTCTTTTTTAATTAGTTAGAGTAAAAGGGAAAGGAAAACAAGAAGTCTGTAGGCAGCACCCTCTGCTGTGTTTGTTCAACTTGTTGCTACGAGCCGACTTTACTTCTCATTGATAAACTTCATTAGAAGACACAAGGTAGGGCAAATGCTAGAGCAGGAATGATAACAGTTTTGAGAGACAGGTTAAATTAGACACCAAAGCCTGAAAGGCATTTTGTTTGGGTGAAGAGTTTGGAAGCTTTCTCTAGTGCTGGAATGTGGTCATTCATCTAGCAAATTTAGAATGTTCCTTACTTAGTAAAGGTTGTCCTTATCTATAGAATGGTGACGAGAAGTTGCACTATAAAGTATCATACTGATGATGACAAATAATTTGTTTATTATGTGACAGACACTGCGCTCAATGTGAATTACCTAATTTCAATCAATGTACAGTAACACCATAGGGTAGGAATATTTATAGCCCATTTTACAGTCAAGGAAATGCAGGCTTAATGAGGTTAAATCATTTACACAAAGTCTCCCAGCTCATAAATGACAGAGAAGCAACTCAAACCAAGTTCATCTGATTTCAAAGCCCAAAATGCCTACAAATATATTAAAAATTAGTAAGAATTACCAAACTCAAACAAAAACTTTGGAAACAACAACCAAATATAATTATTACTGTTAAAGTAATATAAATGGATTACTTCCATTGTTTTAGTACATATGTTTGTGTTTATAAGTAGGTTGTATAGACAGAGAAGTCAATGTAACTACAAGGAAGTTAGGAAGGATATGCACCAGATAGTCAAACTGTGGAATGAAATGAGGTGAGCAAAGGAAGGACTTTATTTCTTTATCTACTTTTATTTTTAAAGTGGTGGGATTAGAATATACTTTAGGTGACTTTTGTATTTAATAAATAATATTAGTTTTAAAAGCAACAAAAATCATCTGTCTAAATGATTAATTATGAATCTAAAGTTATAAAATCTTGGACTTTTCTGAAATAGTTCATGAATTAGTATAAAGATGTTGAAAATATATGGCAGCCCCTTTATACATTTTTTTCTTTATTGCAAAAGGTATAGGTGTAAAATTTTGTAATATATAGACAATGAAGAAATAAGTAAAAATTCCACCAATTCTCATAATCCTCACAGTGAATTAGAGTAGTTGTACTCTACTGTATGATGGTTCTTGCAACTATTTTAGTTCCTGTTTATTTCTGAGCTGTAGCAAGTTTTAAGTACCATCGCAAAAGCAATGGTACCATAAATCAATCACCCAGTGGCAATTTTCTACAAATTGTTTTCTATGCATATATACTTTTTTTAAAGTATAGGAATCTTAATATATGTCTACACAAAAACTTGTACACAAATGTTTATAGCAACACTATTTATATAACAATTAAAAAGTGGAAACAATCCAAATATCCATCAACTGATGAATGAATAAAAAAATGTGGAATAGTCACACAATGAAATTTTATTTGGCAATAAAAAGGAATGAAGTACTGACACATGCTACAACATGGATGAACATTATGCTAAGTGAAAGCAGCCAGTCACAAAATATCACATATTATACTATCTCATTTATAGGAAATGTCCAGAATTGGTAAATCTATAGACAAAAGTAGTTTAGCGGTTGCCTGGGGATGTGGGGGAGAAGGTAAGGAAGGGTTGGGAAGTGACTACTGGTGGGTATAAGGTTTCTTTTTGGGGAAATGAAAAATGTTTTAAAAATCAAATTATGGCGGTGATTGTGCAACTCTAATCATATGCAGAACCAATGAATTGTATACTTTAAATGGATAAACTTTTATGGTATATCTATTATACCTCAATAAAACTTTTTTGAAAAGCCTTATGCAAGTGTTTTATTAATGTTAGCATAGTTGTACATGACAACAGTTCTAGAAATTTTGGACTTTATCTGAGTTTCCCTTCTGCCCTCTCTATCACTACACTCCCAACACACAACACCAGGAAGAAACTTGGTTGATTGTGATTCTTTTTATGGAGATTATTTTTCCCCTCCCAATATGTTTTGAATGTATTTGGCTGATACCTTTCTTGAATCAGCAGCCCACAGATAAAAGTAAAATGAAGCAGCAGAACCTACCTTCGATTATATGTTTTCTTGACAGCCCTCTTTCCGTTTCAGCTCTAACAAGAAAAAGAAGCAAATGACTCTGAGTGGGGTGTGCTTTCTCTTATCGCTGTTTCAAAAGTACAGAAGAATGGTTGTTCTGGATGGAATTGCTAATTTTATACCCTGTTCTTGGCAAATTCTGCACCACTGCAGGCTGAGGAGGAAGGCAGGTGGGCAGCATACTGAACCCCTTTTCTTCGGAGACCCCAGGAGATGAATTAACATGACTGTCACCACCCCACAGTAATAACAACTCGGCCACCCACACCCTGTCCATATATAACTTGACACATGGCTCAACCTCCCCACCTTGTTCTTACCAATCCCAAGCAAATGAAATAAAAGGCTTGCTCGAAGTGTGTGAGCTTACTATAAGCTTGCCAGGCTGCTGATGGCATTAGCTTTTCTGAGAAAGGAAGCAAATTGGAAAGTGCCTTTTGACTTTCAAAAGAAATGAACAATTATTGTCTTTTTATAAAATGTGACCATGCAACTTTTCCGTAAATTAGTATCTTACAAAGACCAACATTCAGCAAGGACTTTTGCCATTTCAGACCATTCTCAAACTCTGGCCAATTGGAAAGGAATGTTATGCTTGGGTTTTAAAGCATTGCTGAAATGTTTCTTCAACATCAATACCTTTGTCAACCTTAGTAGTTTACCATTCACCTTTGGTGACTTTGCACCTTTTATAAGTATATTAGATAATATTATATATAGTTCTCTATGACATACTGGTTCTTGCAGATTGTCTTACTTTCTGATTATTTTTAAACCATATGCAAAGTTTTGAGTACCACTGCAAAAGCACCAAGCAATGGCACCATGAACCAGAGTATAGACAATTTAAATTTGTATTTCTCATAGGCACCATGTTGCCTTGTTTTTATATAGACTACAATGGTGGTAAGGATCTAAATTCCATTTTTTTTCATATTCATCACAAGCAGGTTCAAAAACAGCAATAAAATATGAGTGTGTGTGTGTGTGTGGGGGGTGGTACACATACATTTTGGTTAGATTTCTAAAAATCTGGTCTCTGCCTCCAATTTTGTTTTTAACTATTTCCAATCAATTATAGGGTGGTAAATAAGGTTATGTTTGTCTGTATTTATGTTTTGTTAAGAGATCCTTGAGATTTCCATGCAAAAGCTTATACAGAATAGCTTGCTGTATTCTTACATGTTTGTCTTAAAGGCCAGGGCTTCTAAGTCCTGCTGGATAATGTAAGTACCAGTTCAAACACCAGTAGGCCCATCAGAAGCCATTCATCCTGTGACATTTGTTCTGCACCCCATACCAGAGAGAGGTCTTCTCTTTCATGTGGCCTGGCAGCGAGTGATCCAGGAAGCTCTGCGTTATTCTCTAGTGAGATGCCCCCTTTATCAGCACTTTCAGAGCCCTCTGCGGAAATGCTCAGAGACTTACAGTGGGACCAGACAAGATATTTTTATATCTGTATTCCGGAGAAGTCTCTGAGTGTTGGCAGAGTTGAATAGCTTTTCTTTGATGATGCTATGTGCTCATTTCCTTTTCCCAAAATTTGAACTCTATTTTGGTTCTAAGTATGAGGTTGAGATTTGAAAAATCTCTGTGAATCACTTAGTAACAAGTGACCTCATGCTACTAAATTTCTTTGGAAGCATCTTGTTAAAATTGAATCCTAGGCTAACTGCTATTTCCTTCAAGTGAGAAATAATCACCTTTCACTCTAAACCAATTGATTCTGGCATATTAGATGTGAAATAGCAGCCTAAAAAGATAAAACTACTAGTTGTTTCCTACCAAGTGGGGAAAATAAAAGTTATTTAACTTACTTTCCACCCCAGTAGAGTTTGGTTGTTATGACCAGGCTGGACCTCCTGTATGTTAAACAGACAAACACACACAGAGAAATATTAAATAAATTATTTGTAATCATACTGTCATATTATTATTATAACACCCAAAGAATTTATTGTACCACACATTTTTAAAAAATTGGCAAAGAGATAAATTTGTTAATTCACATCACTAAAATGTGAGAACAAAGAAGCTAGTGAGTGGGGACTTGAAGTCAGATCCGAGAAGAAGAGGTTGAATAGAAGTGATCTTTACCTGGAGGGGCTGGAGGAGGTTGAGGGTTGTGACAGCAAATAGGTGAATGGGTGGTGGCAAAGCGAAGGGAAGGGTGGCATGGAGGGTCAGAAATAGTAAATGAGAAGGGTAAGCGATAGGACTAACTGATGGATTGCTGTAGGATCTCAAACAAACAGCCACCCACTAACACTTACTTAGCATCTGACATAACCCTGATTGAGTGTGAACTTTCCTGGGGGTAAGTCCACCCGCCAAGGACCATGGACCTAATGGCTCTGAGTTACTACTCTTTCTAATCATCACATTCACAGGCAGGATTTGACTACATGGAAATATGAATAATGAAATAAATTGTAATGTCAATAAGTAGGAATTAAATTTCTATGAGTGTCATTTTAATGGAAATGTTATTTTAGGAAAACAGTTAAAAAATCTTTAACTCAAAGTTTTACCACCTTATTCTTAAGGGAATACAATGTGGAGATCTTGTTAGCAAATGTATTACTTTTTCAAAATCACACTCAAAGGGAGGAAATGCCATTATGATCATGGAAAAGGAAATATGTCTTGAGAACTATAGTCATGTAATTTAAAATTCGGAGGTGGATCTCAGTGTAATTTAATTTCTCCAGGTATGCAATTCAATTGAACTCACCTAGAAAAAAAATCATTTGTGATTCAAAGGTTAAGATCAAACTTTGGGAATAGTTGAAATAAGACATTTATAATTTCATCAGCTGCAGCAGCAATGCCTTAGGACCGTCAGGTATAAAAGCCTAACCTGATGAATGATAACCAATGAGAGACGATGGTAACAAGTCTGACAACTTGGCTGCAACAAGAAAAATTCGTAGAAAATGTCAACAACCACATCCCACTGAAGTTAATTCCCTGAAAACCAATGCGAATCACTGTAATGGAAGGTCTACAGATATAAGCATCTGAAGATTACACACTCCAGAAGAGCTGGTGCACTTTTCAGGTTGATCCATCAGCCTCATGATACCTCATGATAGTGTAGTAGTGATCTGCTGGGGGAGCCAGGTCTCCTTTAGCAAACGTTTTCAGGGCTTCAACAAAAGGCTGGATGGGATAGTATAAAAAATGAATGCAGCCCTCTTGATTATTCAGAGCATGTGGACCTGCAAAAGCTGCACATTCTACTCAAATACTACCCCCATAGACTCACTTATTCTTCCAAAATTAGGCTTTCTGTAAAATGTTTGGCCTACGTGGGTGTGCACAGTAATGTTAATGTTCAAACAGCATGAGCAGACAGCAACCCGGCAAATTTTCAGTGACCTCATGGAGGCATTTAGAGTGGGCGGAGAATGATAACATGAATGTTTTACTTTGAGATAGCACAGGCTTCAGAAGACTTTTGCTCACCTTATGTCACTTTATCAGCATGACGCTTTAGGGGCAGATATGACATCCATTTTAGAGGTAGAGAAATTGAGACTCAAAGAAGGGAGGTAACCTGTCCTGGACAGCACAGTTAGCAAGTGGTGGCACTGGGAGCAGAAGCCAAGTATGCACTAGTTGAAATTGCTTGTGTGCCTTGGTGATACAGTTTATCTTTTCACCAGTTTTCTGGGGGTCGTGGTGAATGGATATCAATATTCTGTGGCCTGGTGACAACTTAAGCTTTTATTTGCAAGACTGAAAGGCAGTGTGTGAAAGATGCATGTTAATCTACTTCCTGTAGGTATATAATAGGTTCCGAAAACTATGGAGCTTGATGGGTAAATGTCCCCTGGGTGTCCAGGGGGAAAGAGCCATGGTACTGACTCCTCTCCTCCTTCCTCAGGTGGACTCTGTCAGCCTACCCCCGCTGCAGATCTCACTGGACTGCTAATGGACTCATCCCCAAGGTCTCTGTCACAGGTTGAATTGTGTCCCTCAAAAAATATATGTTATTTAAGTCCTAACCCCCAGTGTCTCATAATGTCAGCTGATTTGAAAACATGTAGTTAGTTAAATTAAGTTGAGGTCACACTGGAGAATGGTAAGCCCCTTAATCCAGTACGACTGGTGTCCGCATAAGAAGACACACAGACACACATGAAGGGAGAATGCCAGGTGGTGATAGAGGCAGATGTTGAAGAGCTGTATGTGCACCAAGAGATACTAACATTTGCCAGCAAGACCATCAGAAGCTGGGAAGAGGCAAAGAATGATTTTACCCAGAGCTTCAGAGGGAACATGGCTCTGCCCAAACCTTGACTTTGGATTTCTGGCCTTCAGAAATGTGAGAGAATACATTTCTGCTGGTTTAAGCCATCCAGGTTGTGGCACTTTGTTACGGCAGCTCTAGGAAATGGATACAGTCCCTGTCTGGGTAGTGGTGGATGGACCAGCACGCTGAGTGGGCAAGTAACTCAGGCAAGATGGAGGACTGGATGGGAACATGAATATGTTTCCATATTTAAGGTTGAATATGGTTCTTTTTCAACAGACTTACAATCCCTGGAGTTGGGGAGGAAAAGAAGTGAGAGGGAGAAAGTAGGTCACCAAACTTTATTTATTGACAACTCCATAAATTTCTGGTTTTCTATTTCACAAGTCCCTCTATCCCTACCAAACATTCCTCTAAGAGTGAGGAGCAAGCAGCCCTAAGAATACATGGAGCTTCCCCTCCAGAGGGGGTTTAAATGCTTTGTGGAAAGGCATAATGAAATCAATCTTGAGTTATACTCTGTGAGAATGTCCCTTTTTCCTAGACCAGTGGTCGGCAAACTCATTAGTCAACAGAGCCAAATATCAACAGCACAACAATTGAAATTTCTTTTGAGAGCCAAATTTTTTAAACTTAAACTATACAGGTAGGTACAATGTTATTAACTTAATTAGGGTACTCCTAAGGCTTAGGAAGAGCCACACTCAAGGGGCCAAAGAGCCGCATGTGGCTCGTGAGCCACAGTTTGCTGGCCACTGTCCTAGACTAAATTTTATACAATCTGTGTACACGCATGGGTGCAGCATTCTTTGTACTATCTCACGGATACTATAGAATTGTTATTCATTTGGCCATCAGCAGAGATTATACCAGAGCAGAAGAGAAATCCAAACTTGTCCAATGGTCTTTGTTGGGCTTTGCCTGATTCTGTACTCATGCTGGGGAGAAGGGGGTATCGGGACTGACACGCATAGTGAAATGTAGGGGGGTTGTTCCCCTGCTCCCAGATGTTATGGCATTCGTTGTTACCACTGGCTTTGGCTACAGAAGGTGATGGAATGGGATGTGACCCCCCCCCCCCGAGACAATAGGGCTCCCCAGACACAGGAGAGACACTGTCAGGTAAGAAAGCTTTGGGGTATTTATCCCAAGGACTTCTTATTTCATCATCTCTTTGCATTCAGAGTTGTTAATAAAATGAACAATGAACATAAATACATATGTATATACAAACAGCTTCCTGTCAGCTGGCTTCCTTCACCAAATTATCCTAAATAGAAGTCAGAAGCCATGAAAATGTCCCTTTCTTTTATTGACAAATAACTCCTAAACATCCCCTCCTTCTTGGCTTAACCCCATGGTAATTCTTTGTGATTAATGACTAGTCAATAAGTTTTGAAGCACAAGTAATGAACTTGCTGGTATTTATTTTCAAAACTCTGTAAATCAACTAAGAGTTGACTTCTTTTGGGATAACCTTTTGGTCAGTTGCCATCCAATTTTATTTTCCCTTCTCTGGTTATAAAATCATGTCAGTCTTTTTAAAGGCAAGTAAATTATGGTGGTGAATACATTACCTCCAGCCTTTCTTCTTGATGATGCTCCCCAGAATCACTTCAGCCCTGGAGGGGAACACAGACAGTGTCTTAGGGTACAGTGGCCTGGAAATGCAAGAGTCAGTGCAAAACACCAGAGCCATTCCTTGTTTGAACTTTCAGGGCCTCCACATCCCGAAAATAGAAGCTGCTCTCGGCTGGTGGCACAGTTTCCTCTGTTTCTGCTTGTGCCTGCAGAATCCCGCTCCAGAGCATAGCAGAGGCACCTGCCAAATCCTTTCACGCTGGCAGGAGACCACCTGTGGTCCTGACACTAAGAAACAGTGCAGTCATTTGGCAGTTTGGTGTTTTTAAACCACTGATCTCATCTCTAAATGTCCTACTTGGCTGTGTCCCAAAGGGGAGTCAAGGTTTTGCTTCTATTTGCTATGGCTTCCAATTATGACTCGGGAGGACAATGAGAGCTCACACTGTTTAGACAGACAATATTGACTCCCAGGAGATCTTATAGGATACAAGTGGGTTTAGAAGACCCAGAAGTAAGGGCTGCAGATGCAGGGGCCCACATAGAGAATGTCCTGGGTTCCAGTAACAAGCATTGTCATAGACACAGGACATAAGGAGGTGTAGAGAAGTGTTCTCCCTGCACCTAAGGCTGGGTCATGGAGAGGTATATTGAGGACATACCCACTGTCCTATCCCCATCTTTCTAGCCCAGCTAGGACCCAAGCTTGAGGAGAATACAACTATCTTCTAGGCTCCTCCCAGTAAGACCAGTTCTGCTCTGTGAGGCTTTGTGAGTGGGGGCATCAATGGAATTAGCACTTTGTCCACTAGGGTCCTATAGATGGGAGTCATTACTAATCACTATGTGTCTTGACTGAAAGTTCCGTCTCTGTTGGAGTGTACTTGGGAACCTGGCAATAGCCATGAAGCAGTTAGCTATGGAGCACACCCCCAATAGACATGTGCTGAATGTTGCACAGTGTTCTTTTCTTCCTCCCCTCTGTCTCTCTGATGGTTGCCTTTGCAATCTTGCTTTTCATAGTGGGAACCTATCTCAGTTACACACTGACAAATCAAACACTAATGAACCAGAACTGATTCTTCTTCACAGTAGGAATACAGACAGAACTCTTTACACACTTGTTGACCACTCTTCCCCTTTTTCAACCTTAGCCCCATTTGGTATTGAGCAGGATTCAACAAAAGAAGAAAACACGGAGAAAGGGTATGATGTTGAAAGGAGCAAGGCCTTATCAATTTCATTTGCTCTCCTTGGACTCAACAGAAAACATCAGGAATGTGGGCTCTGAACCTCCTAGATGACCCTTAAACTTTTACACCTGCCCTTGAAAAGGAGGAAACCCACGCAAGGAAAATACACTTGGACCAGGCAACGATGAACCTGATTCAGCAAGTCTAGCATTTTGATTGTAATTCTCACCCGGAGTGGGGTGGAAATTAGGCCTGCAGGTGACCATGCACCGCAATCCTGTTAGAAAATTGCAGAGCTACTCAAGCAGCTGTCCAGCTACTTAGTGCCTTTCAGCTCTTGGAGCTGCATCCATGTTCACAACAGGAGGCCAAGGTGTTCCTGTTCTGTTCTAAAATGTGCTTGTTGTGCTGGAACCCGGAGGACATGGACCTTGGGGCTCACATGAGGGCATATTACCCAGGTGCTCTGACTTAGCAGTGAGCCCTGTCCTAGAGCCCAACCCTGCTCTGGGGTTCATGGGAAGGTTGTAGCTAGATGGGACTTCTCTAGCAAAAGAAGCGAGGCCTCTTTGCAGCCCCCTCTGTCCTCAGAGTGGGGTCTGAAATACCCTCTTATAAAAGACTAGAGGCCTGGTGCACGAATTCGTGCATGGGTGGGGTCCCTTGGCCTGGCTGGCGATCCGGCCGATCCAGTGGGGAGGGACCGTGGGAGGTTGGCTGGCCTAGGGGAGGGTCCTCAGGAGGTTGGCCAGCCCAGGTCATGGGAGGTTGGTTGTGGGAGCGCACTGACCACCAGGGGGCAGCTCCTGCATTGAGTGTCTGCCCCCCGGTGGTCAGTGTGCATCATAGTGACTGGTCGACTGGCCCTAATGATCACATAGGCTAATATAGATATTAGATTTCTTGGTATCTTTAAGGATCTTCCTTTAATCTCTGATCTACCTGTAATGCTACGTGGAGGAATAAGCCTGCAAACAGGAGAATCAGTTCCTGCTTCCCTCTGAAGAGGACGGCCCAGTTTCCTTCGAGGGTCGAGAAACTATGAAATGTGGTTATGAAGTAACAACCACATTGGAATCTGCTCCTTTATTTGCTCACTCATATTTTGAACTAATATTTATTGATCTCCACTGCCACCACTCTGGGCCCAGCCACCTCTGCCCCTCATGTAGACCAAAGCAATTGCTTCCAGCCCATTTTTCATACAGCGGCCAGAGGTGGGAAGGTTTGGCTGGGCAGAGGGGGCCGGAGATGCCCTGGTGATGGTGGTGGAGGGAGGGGGAAAAGTGGTGCCATAACAGGTGTGGCAAGGACAGATCCTTCTCACCCACATGTCAACAATGGTTAGGACAGAGTCTCATGGTTCTAGAAATGCCACTTGAGGGACACAAACAGGCACCGACTTACTTTCCAGCAGCGTAGACCTCGGCAGTATCAAAGAGATTAACTCCGCTTTCGTAGGCGATCGTCATCAGCCGTTCAGCAACCTGCAAGAGGATGCAGTCAGTCAGAAAAGCCAAATGCTTTTCAAACCTGGGAAGCAATTTTGAATCCCTTAATGGTCTTTAAGAACATGTAAATTTCCCTAACCATTGCTTGTTTTTCTCAGTTGTAGTAAAGAAAGAAAACCTGAACTTCAGCTAGCCTATCGAGGGTGGATGCATCTTCCCCTGAGATATAGCCGGGCACTGAGAAACTTCCCTCAGCGCTGGGTTCCAGCAGCCCTAGGGAGCTCAGTGAGGTGGACAGATCCTTGCTCACTCTGCTTGGAAGGCCTGGTTTGACATTCTTTTTGGCACCGTAATCGCTCTGACACAGAGGGTCATTTGTTTTGCAGCTGACTCCATCTCTTCTCCTTTCTCTAAGCCAATGGACTGTGGCACCTGGGTGACTTGTGACTTAAAAGTTTGGACCTGTTTTCCTCAAGGCTTAGCAGACTGTTGTGATGAATGAAAGGTTAGACAGAACTGTGACTGTTTTAATTCAGCAAAACCCCAGACACCATCAGAGTGGCCAGCCAGCCGAATCCACAGGACAAGCAGAGGAGGGAGTGGGGCACGGGGACCCAGCTCCTCACTGTCAGCCCGAAAACACACCTCCAGGCTCTGGTCCTCTCCTTTGTGCTGCTGATGCAAGTGGCAAGTGTGACAAGAGAGTGGGGGTAGCTATAAATGACAGCTTGGGGGACAGCCATTGAGGAATAGCGATAAAGAGAGGTGGAGAGGGGCCATTTTTTCATTTAGACTTATTAGCCAATTGGGAAATTACACACCTCACAAATAATTAAAATTGATTTTTCCATTTATGCTTTTGATTGTGGGCTGAAGTGCTTCATTAGCATTTCCAAGATAAAGTACTTTCCTGTTTTTAAAATTGGCCAACCAAAAAACTTCTTAGGCTAGCACAACAGAGTCCCTGCAAGTCCGTTAGGAAAAAAGCAGCAAAAGTACTACTACTGCTTTTAATTTACCCCAATTAGAGATTAAAAGTTAAGACAAGCATAGTTTTTCCCATCATGACTGTTTTGTGTTTAAGAAATTACTGTGCTTGTATTATATTAACCTTGTGCCATGTCACATGACATGCTGATGGATTGTTATTAGAAAACATACATAATGAATCTTATATAGAGAAAAATTTTGAGACAAGATGGAGACTCCCAGATGGAGAGTTCGACTAAATGATTGCTGAGATGTTTCCCAACCATGGCGTTTGGAGACCTCAACGCGAAGCAATGAAATCACTGAACTAAGTCAGAAGACCAAATTCTAGTCCTGAGTTGAGTTTATTGGTACCTGCAATTGAAAGAATCCCAACTACTTTACTGATGAGAAAATGTAAGTAAAACTCTGAAAATTAAGTGCTATAAGATGATAATACACTCTTACCATTATTTAAAAATACTATACATATGAATAACATCTATTTTGGTTTTATAATGAAGCCAAATCATCTTTGGGAGGCACCTCACAGGGTTATTTAGTTTCATGTTTGAAAAATTTTGATGAGATCCCTGTCCAGTGGCTACTTAATAATTGAACTATCCTAGTAACAGGGACATCATCCCTTCCAGAGGCAACACTGATGATTGCATCACCCAGCACATAATGGTGTGGTCATCCCAGGATCCCATGTTTGTATTTGCTTTGTGCTGAGCTCATCCAAAGCCAGAGAGAAAGTGGGACAATCTAGGGAGGTGAATTTATTGCTATTGGCTTACATTTTTGCCACGTGGAAATATTTGAGCTCCAGCAATTCAGCCACTGGTGTGACCAGTCTACCTGTGCCTCCCTTCCTTCTCCTTGCTGGCATTCTCTCTGCAGGGACCTGGGGGAAAGCTGCAACTCTCTCTGGAAGGAGAGTAGATATTTGTCTGATCTACATCTGAGGTGAGAGCTGCTCCAGCCACTCATGACAACTTTATTGTGCAGTTTTTAGAATCATAATTTTGAAATGATTCATTTCGGAGGCTGACCTAGGCAAGCTGGGCCTCCTCCACACACCCTACCTGATACCCAGTCAGAAGGCCCTGTGATGGCCACCCAAATCCTCCTTCAGAATTGAAGGACTTATTCCCGTAGCTGCTTAGGAATCCTGGCCTTCAAGTTACCAGCCCGCTCTAGAAATTGCACTTGGCTAAAGAGAATCGCCCAGATCAAACTACTTCCCAGAGCAGCCTCTATCCCAGTGATGGCGAACCTATGACATGCGTGTCAGAGGTGACACGCGAACTCATTTTTTTGGTTGATTTTTCTTTGTTAAATGGCATTTAAATATATAAAATAAGTATCAAAAATATAAATCTTTGTTTTACTATGGTTGCAAATATCAAAAAATTTCTATATGTGACACGGCACCAGAGTTAAGTTAGGGTTTTTCAAAATGCTGACACGCCGAGCTCAAAAGGTTCACCATCACTGCTATCCAATGGTTGGTCATACAAAGGATGTAAATGCTCAGTCCTTTTGCCCCAACTTGGGACAATCCTACATGGCCATCTCAGCTTTGGAGCTCCCAGTGGGGTCAGCTGAGGTCATTGCTGAGACTGCATCATGCCTCAGTTTCACTGTCTGCCCAATTCTGCTTCCTTCTCTGCCATGTGTTGATTCTGAGATGACTTCCTAATACTGTTCTGCATGCTAATCTCCATCTCAGAGTCCACTTCTCAAGGAATCTCCTATGTGACAAGCTTTCTGTGGTGACCTATGCCCAATACTGGGAACAGGCATTCAGACAGATAAGAATATGTGGATAAGACTCATTCCCCTGGATCTATAAACTAATGCTAGTGGCCTTGGGAGCTGGGTAAAGATCCCCAGGCCCCCCCAACTTCTGTTTAGGAACGATAGTAAGAACTACCTTTACAAATGACTTGTTCTGAGACAGGTACTGGGCTCAGCACATTATAAGTAATTCTTAATCCCTTCACCTTTTTCACCCAGTTCTCTACACCCTCTCCCCTCTGGCAACCATCAATCTATTCTCTGTATCTATGAGTCTATTTCAATGTGTGTTTTTTGTTGTTGTTGTTCTTTAGATTCCACATATGAGTGAAATCATTAGGTAATGAGCTTTCTCTAACTGAGTTACCATAATTTCCTCTAGGTCCACCCATGCTGTTATAATGGTAAGGTTTCATATGAAAGTATTCCTTAAATGCAATGATAAGCATATAACCATGATAAGCACTATTTTTGAATTGTAAACAAAAATTTAAAGGAATGTAATGAGTGTCTGCCATTTATTGAGTGTCTACTACTTACCAGTCAAAGGGCTATATAAATGTCTTACATGCATAACATGGTTAATTGTTTCTATAGATCTTGAAGGTCCACATTATTATCCCATTTTACATAGGATAATCTGAGACTCAGAGCAATTGGATTAACTTGTCCAAGCCGGGATGACCAACTGTCCTGGTTTGCCCTGGTCTTGAGAAACCCGCTGCTAAAATAAGAAAGTCCATGCCAATTGGGACCACTTTGGTCACCCTAAATGGAGCTAAAACAAACAACAGCAATACAATCTTTCTATAAGGTGACTAATATTCATTCCAAACTGGCTCCTTCTCCCTATCTACTGAGCCTGCACATATAATGCACTGACAGTCTCAAGGATTAATAGTCTAAATGTGAAAAATACAAGAAGCAAGCTAAAACTGAAAATAATACTTGAGTCAATCTTAGCCATTTCCCATGATTAAAGCAGTCCTTGTAAAATGCCAGAAACTCGGGCAGAATACTCCTACCACATAGCTCTCTCTGCATTTTCTTTGATCAGTATAATAGAAGACAAAAGTAACTTACCTCATCTGAAATTTGACCTCCAAATGTCACCCATGTTCCTAGAAAAGAATAAATATTTGTATATTACTTACAACATAATCATTTTTCTAATATTGTGTATAATGAGAGGAAACAATTTTTCTTACAAGACTACTTCAACAGGTTGTTTATGAAGGTATTTGGATGAGGGGCAACTGGGGGGCTGAAGTCCAGCCCATCCTCCTCCTCTCACTAACTCATCCAGCAGGAGTCTGCATCCCCCTGGAGGAGAGAATGCCCTTTCTTCATTCATAGGTACCATATTTGCTAAGGGCAGCCCATTCCTACACAATGCTTTCTCTTCTGACAGAGGACCATGAATGCTAATGTGCAAGAAGGCGATGTTACCATGCCTGCTCTGAGTACACACCCATTCTTACTCTCACTTAGCTAAGGAGCTACCCTTAGTTGAAAGTGAAGGTAAGATCTTGGGTTGTGGTTCTTTCCTTCATTGTCTCCAACAATCGAGTCTGTTTTGTATTCCCTCTTACCTCTCAAAAGGAACCCTCTCAAATGTCTTCCCAGTGCCCACTTCCAAGCCCCAGGAGGTGACACCACCTTGTACTTACTTGCAGACTTGTTTGCCTGGCTAAAACAATGTTAACCAGCTTGCTATTTTAATAAAATTTGAATAAGGTACCAACATTTAAATAATTAGGAGATTTTTCTTTAAAATGTTTGATTTCTAGTTTCTCTTAACAACAGAAGGCTGGGTGTCCCCACAAGCAGACATCCCTGAATTGAGGGGCAATGTCCTCTGTGGGAAGGCTGGGCCCTCCACAGTCTATCAAAGGTATCCACATACCTTCCTTTGCATATCCAACACTAAAATCAAATGCAGTTGTTATTTCCTGCCACATGTTTATTGCTCTTTTTTTAAATTGTAAAATTAAGAGAAAAACAAGCTTGTGCATTTCCCAAAAAACAGAGTGGAGGATTCATGAAAAAAAAAATAGGAGTGTAATTTTTTTTGGTGCATGTGAAGAACATAAAAACACAGACTGTTTGCCCAGAAAAATTATAACTTAAGGCACCATAATAAAACCAGCCATGACTGGTATATAAAAAAGATGGGCGTTGAGAAACTTAATGAACTGGAGAAATGGCAGTGTTTGTTTTTGAATGAAAGCAAAATAAGTGATCGCTGTGAAATGCAGTTCTCTTAGGTGAAAACACAGCTATGGCATCAAAACCTTTTTACAGACAATACTGTTATAAAAGAGTCTCTTTTGAATGCAGCAGAAATCATGTGTCCAGAGAATAAACAAGCATTTGCAAATTTTAGTATAATCAGAATCATTGTACTCAGCATGTTAAAAATATGGTTGAAAACTTTCAGAATAAGTTAAATTATTGGTGGCATTTCCTATTGCAGCCAATGAGAACACAGATATAAATAATAACATGCTGTTCGCTGTGCTTATTTGTGATATTTTGAGAATTTTGGAAGGGTCAAAGAGCTTTTGAACAAGAAGCTCTGCAAAGCACAACATCAGGGAATGGTTTACTTTGTGACGAGAAAGGTCTCAGGCCAGTGGATGTAGGATGCTCTGTTTTGAGTTCTATGTTGACTACAGATGGGGCTCTCTCACAAAGGATGGGGCCAACATTGAGCCTGTCAAGCACCAGATCCCCAGGAGGCAGCATTTTGTAGGGGCACTAAATATTGGAGTCCATAACTGTTCATTTTCTCATTCATCAGGAGTTTGCTTTGGGCTGAAAAGCTCAAATGAGACAGGCCACGAATTCAATAATTAATGCCATGAATTGGCCATTCTTTTGCATCTTGGAGCAAAATCAGGCCAGTGTCTGCTTGATGAATTTGCTGGTTTACTTATACTGAGATGACAGATTTTTTTTTAACTGTTCATGTCATCAAAGGGAGCAGTCCTATCTCCAAAGACTGGCTCGAAGTTCTAAGTTTCTTGCTGAAATTACAACTCATCTACACCTTTTGAATTTTTTCTATAGGTGCATTTACAAGTATTTGCATAAATATCTCATTTGCTACTCTCAGTTCTGACAAAATAGAGTCTTTGGGAAATTTCAGTTGTTAAAGAATAATTTACTGAACTTTCTTATATTGCAGTCAGTTTCCAGAAATGAAATTGATAGCCTGAAATTTAGTCTTTGAAACTAGGCCATTCATTAAATACTGGATTTCAAACTTTATGAAAATAAACCAGAATTATTTGCTTTAGCTTTCTTAATTAAAAATGTTTAGTTGTTATAGTATTACAGATATCTCCCATTTTCTCCCTTTTTGCCCCTCTCCACCCAGACCCACTGCTCCCCAGGCCTCTCCCACACTATTGTCTGTGTCCATGTTTTATGCATTTATGCATATATGTTCTTTGGTTAATCTCTTCCTGTATTCCCAGTCCTGAGATCTGTTATTCTGTTCCATGCATCCATACCTCTGGCCCTATATTGTTCGTCAGTTTATTTTGCTAATTAGATTCCACATATAAGTGAGATCATGTGATATTTGACTTTCTCTAATTGGCTTATTTTGCTTCTTAATTAATTTTTGATAGCACTAATGAAGTGCTATGATTTGAAGTTCTCAAAATGTAGTACAAAATGGCATTGAAGACTAAATATGACAACACTGATAGCCAGACTAATGATGGCAACATTATACACAGATCTTGGAGGAGATTATTCTACTTATAAGAACCATTTACAACAATTCTATCCATGTTGGGAAAACCTTATTTTTAGAAATATGAATCTGAAAAATCAATCTGCATAAAACTACCTACCAACCTTATTTTTAAGTATTTAAGGCTGTAAACCATATATCACTGTGAAAATATACAGGATCTGACTGATAGCGTGGTATAGAATAAAGATGCCAGGTTTTTTATTCTAAATAAAAGCAGTAATGAATTATGAAAGAAATAGTAATTATTAAATGTTTTCTTTTTTAGTTATTTAAAAAAGTTTAGTATAAAATAGAACATGGGTAGCATATACATTTACCCTAAATATATACATGATTCCATTTCTGGGACTCTTATTCTTACACTCAGCTTACTTTGTTGAGGTAGGCTACTACCTGGCCCTTTAGACATTCCTTACTCATTTGTTTTATAGTTATTTGCTTACCATTTTTATATCTTTTACTAGGCAGTGAACTGTCTGAAGGTTGTTTTTTTTTTTTTTTAAAAATATATTTTATTGATTTTCCACAGAGAGGAAGGGAAAGAGATAGAGAGTTAGACACATCGATGAGAGAGAAACATCGATCAGCTGCCTCCTGCACATCCCCCACTGGGGACGTGCCCGCAACCCAGGTACATGCCCTTGACCGGAATCGAACCTGGGACCTTTCAGTCCGCAGGCCGATGCTCTATCCACTGAGCCAAACCGGTTTTGGCAGAAGGTTTTTTTTTTTTCATTTATGATCTCATCTCCACAGCCCTAAAATAGAAGTGAGTCCTTAGTAGATGGTTGATAATTGTTGGTTAAATTAAATTGCCTTTGGACTGTCATTAATCTATAAAATACTGGATAAATTTTTTAGCAAACCAGTATTCTTCTTTCAATTTCAAGAAACATGAGCAATGCTCATCAACAGTCCTAGGCCCGAAGTGATTAACGTGTTTTGGTACCTTCCCCTGGAGGTGGGTTTCTCCTTGGCAGCAAGGCCTGGGGGGGGGGGGGCGGTGTGTGTATGGCACAGTGTAGGAAGGGTCCATCAGCCACCCCGAGGGAGAGGTGTCACTTCCAAATAGGACATATTCCCTCCTGATGGAGAGGGACAGAGTGGCAGCCTTCCCGACAGGGGACTCTGTATGATTTTATTCTCTACTGCCTGCCTCCACAAGGTCTAAGGTGGTTTATTAGGTCATATGATTGTCAAAACCCTCTGTGACAGTTTTCTTAATCATAGTTCTGCCTCTAATGAGAACATGCCTTCCTGAGACTTAGATGGCAAGTGATTATTTCACTCTGAAATCTCAAATTAGTGGGATGTTATTTAGATGATAAATTTATTAAACTGACATTTGTTATTTCGAATCTTTTAAAAGCAGAGGGAGTATAAAGAGAACCTTGGATTGTTCTTGTATTTTCTGGTGAAACTCTTTTATGCACCAAGAAATAGATGCTTTGAAAACCTCTGTTCGGGTCCCCTGCACACCTACGATGGCATAGAAAAATGATTGGAGAAATGGAAAAAAAGAAAACTATCTTCTCTCTCTCTCTCTTTCTCTTTCTCTCTCTCTCTCTCTCTCTCTCTCTCTCTCTCTCTCTCTCTCTCTCTCTCTTTCACACACACACACACACACACACACACACACACACACACACACACACCTATCTTGGATACTTAGTTACCTTGCTGGTGGTTTACTTCTTGTCATTCATTCAGGAAATATGCTTATCATTTAAATGACCTCCTTGCTTGAGTATGAAGAGCTATTTAGACATTTAGATATAATACTTGTTCACATAGGCTACCTCCCTGGCCCTTTAACATTTTATCTCATCATAGTGCAGTTACCAAACCAGAAAATTAACATTGTACAATATTAGGAACTAAACTACGGACCTTTTTTGAATTTCATTGTCCTCTTTTCTATTCTAGGATCCTATGCAGGACCCAATGTGACATTCTGTGTTCATGTCTCCTTGGACTCTCCCAACCGCCCAACCCCAACCAACTTTCCCCTTTTAATGACAGGATGGTGTGGAGCCAGCACTGCTCTTTCAATAAGATACATAACTTTCACAAGTATCTTGACGTTCATATTGATGCAAGATCCAAACCAAACAATCAGAAAGCAGATACCAGGAATCTGGCCTGAAGGGAAGTCTCAGATGACAGGGCTGGGATGTCCAGACAGGTGACAGAGGTGAAGAATTGGCTTCTTGCCCTTGGCACTTTCTACCAGTTGAAGAGCATGAAATGGATCTACCCTCCTGCTGGGGAGGCAGTAGAGTGAGTTGTTGAGCAAGCAGGGGAATCAGGCAGCTCTGGGCTGGAATTCTGACTGCGTCACTCGCTACCACA